TTGGTATAATAGAGATCCTAGATTAGGACTTTATAATGGAAGAAAACATAGGGTTTTAGTGAATGTTGGAGATTTTTCTTCCTCAAATATTTGTGAATGCAAATACAAACCAAAATGTGCACAGCTCCTATCAGTCAAATGGAAGTGGTTACTATCCCACTTCTGCACCTCACTTCCCCGGGGCTCCCCAGAGGGAGGCTTTCCCACCCACCTCAGCCCCAGCAGGGCTGTTCTGAAGACGGTGTAATCTGCATGGTAACGAAGTCCCTCTTGGCGTCTCCATATTCATCTAGCCTGATGGCCCAGCACAGCAGTCGACCACTTTCTGCCAGGCTCTGCTGTCACGCCCTACGGTGGCTCCTGGAGCTGCTCTTCCTCAAACTTCTTCAGGCGTTCTCAACTTCCAGACCTTGTTGTTCTGTGGGTGTCCAATCCTTTATTTCTCTTCATATCAACACATTCCTCCAAGTAACCTAATTATGATATTAGAAGCCTTCAGTATCCCTTTGTTCTAATGTAAAAAAGTTTATTTAGTTCACTGATGAATAACGCAGCTACGGGGTCTCAGGGAAAGAGCCCAGCTAGAGTTGGATCAGTCACACCGATAAGAATTAAAATGAGAATAGACAGTAGACTAGGATCTGTTCCCTCAGGCAACAGAATTCACACAGGTCCTTCTAAACTGCTTAGTTTTGATGAACTTTAAATGCAAAACAACCAGTTTCTCTAAAATCCCAAGTTTCTTATAAACCCAACGGGGTTAGAGAGGCTGAGTTTTAATTGGTCATTTTAAAGCTGCACAATAACCTGTGATAGGTGGCTCAAAGCCATGCTCAATTTACCATTAGAAGGTCCGGCCTAAGGAGTCAGGCAGAAATTTCACTCTTCAGGTTTGCCTCCTGGAGAAACCTGGAGATGTTTTTTCTTCTTATTATTTCCAATAAAAGGAATTCCTTACTCCCTCCTTTGACTCACAACTTCATTCTTCCATTTTCATGAAACCAAGAGTTTGGTTTCTATAGGATTAACTCTTTCACTGAGGTAGAAGAAATGGATTGTTAGAAAGAAGACAAAAACAAAACATAATTTAAGAAGGCTGCAGCCTCAGGATAACAAATTACTCTGGATTATCCAAATCTGGTATCAGGTTTGGTGGTGCATGCCTGTAATCCCAGCACTTGGGAGGCTGAGACAGGATTACTGCAAATTTGAGGCCAACCTGGGCTACAAAGTGAGCTCAAGCCTATCTTGAACTGCATAGTGAAACTGTCTTTTTTTGTTTGTTTGTTTTCTCAGAATCGGGGATTGAATTTAGGCCCTTGTGCTTGCCAGGGAAGTGCTTATTCTACTGAGCCATCTCCCCAGCCCTGGCCCTGAAACTCTGTCTCAAAAAGAAAAAAAAGATTATCCATATATATCTTCCCAAAGTTTGTTTATGTTTCTTTCTTTTTCTTTTCTTTTTTCTTCTTTCTTTTTCTTTTTTTTTCCAGAACTGGAGATTGAACTCAGGCCTTTGGGCTTGCCAAGCAAGCACTTATTCTAATGAGCTATCTCCCCAGCTCCAGTTTATGTTTCTTTTCATCTTGTCAGGCTAATCCCTGAAGAGTGACCAAGACCACCAAGACAGGCATGATTGAAGCATGCAGCAGATATCTTTATTTCAGGCTCTTTGCAACCTGGTCAAGGGTAAGAAGGCCATTGACCATGAGCCAAGGAAGAGAATCAGCTTTGTACACTAGCCTAGGTATGGGAGGGGAGTTTCACTGAGGAAGACGGAAAATTTTAAGTTTCTCAGGGGTCATGGGTAGGC